GATAGCTTATAAATCATTGAAAATAGGACCTACATACCAAATTGAGAATAAAAAAGCTATTATAAATATAAAGTGTTATGAAAATACATTTCACATTGGAAGGTGTGGAATGCAATGCACCAAAATACCAAGTATCCGTTCCAGGACACAGGCGTGCAAGGTCTGGAAGAAGGAGATCCTCAGCTAAGGATTAAATTTTGGCCAAGGATAGTTCCTTAGCACGACTTAAAACTAGTCCTTTAAACTAGTGTTCAAACTCATGTGGAGATAAACACAAAAGAACAATTAATAGAAAGAATAAATGCAGCTTTTCAAACGATGAAACAGGAGATGATGTTGAAAATAACGACAACAAGTAAGAACACGGGCCCGTGCGTGTGTTAGAAATCGCGGCGAACATTTTGAACACGAAAAATAAGTGATTTCAGTTGAAATTTAGTTTTAATTATTTCATCTTAAATTTAAAAAAATCTTCCTCAATTAGGATTTCTGGTCTTAGTTTCAACAATTTCTAAGCAATTTGCATAAACAATACCTCAAAAGAAAGTACAATAACTGAACATGATTTTCAAAAGCTTTGAACAAACAAAACACCCTCCGTGTTTTTTTTGTAAGCCTAAGATAAACAGCTTTTTACCATTTTAATAATTTACGATAATTTTAAATATCTGTAAAAAAATGTTTGCTGATACAGATGTCTTAAACATTTTTTCTTAGTTTGCTTGACACTTGTTTTATCAAATAAAATCAAAAAGAATTCATTTATTATGTCAATTAGCCAATATTTCGAACTAACTGTGTACTTTTAGGTTATTTTCTTTAAAACCGTTAAAAAATATTAAAAATAAAATGGTCAGACTTCGTCTATGACAAGTATGGCTCAAATGTTTCTAAATGATCTCTGTTAGCTTTCCTTTAAAGCTTTGCACTCATCTTCCAAACACCCTGTATAATGCTCAATTGTCAAATCTATGGAGTTTGAAAGTTAGACGGGGAAAAAAACGTTATATAATGTAAATTGTGGTGCTCATGCTACGGGGACTGGCTTGTTACCAATAAAACATGTGGGAGATATGGAATGGAGGCTTTTTTTATCTATTTCTAATAGGATGACCATGACTTTTAATTTTGAGAATTTAAACATCACCACTGTTGTTATAATTTTTATTTTTTAAGCATGTAACTGTTTGATTTTTTTATTTTCTTAAGATGAGCACTGTTGATGAAACACACTGTTGCAATACTTTTTATTGTGTGTTTCCTAATTTAAAATTCAGATGTCACTTGACTTACGTTTCCTATGTGTTACTTCCATATAAACAATATTTACGGCAACACGTTTTTCATCATTAATTTTACCTAAACCTTCGTAATTTCTACAAATTACAACACATACTTTATAATTTAAAAAGTTATTGTAGTTTCAAGTTCCGTTTTTATACTCCTACTTCTACGATTACAAATGCGGTGATTGTTAAAATAAAAATAAAAATTCGTATCTCTGCAACCGGTAGATTACCTACATGTGACCTTAGATTAAAACAAAAAGGGTAGATACGGTACACTCATACTTGCATCAAACAAAAACTGATCCCGTCACTCGTCCCGAGATCCGCGTCACTGCATTACCGACCCGAACGAAACAGCATGTTAAGTTTCAACGGCAGCGCGAACGAGACGGCGAGATCCGCGTCACTGCAATACCGACCAATCACGCCCCAGTACTCGACGTCACTACCGAATAAGATTCAAAACAAACAGCATTTTTTATGAAAAAATATATTTTATAGTACTTACGAATGAAAAGTGATGCTGTGAGTGTTATTTCTAGTTCTTGAGCAATTTGAGCACTTTTTAAAAACACACAGGCATTGTTTTATCATATAAACACAAAATATTAGCAATGTTTCTTTTTGGCGTTCACATGTACGTCGTTTGCAAGTCAAGTTGTGACTAAAGCGATTAGGGTCGTGGACCACAATTCATGCGGATCACTTTTGTGAGGCTTGTGCCGTATCTACCCTTTTTGTTTTAATCTAAGCATGTGACCAGAATATACAGTCTACTCCAAGAGTGTAACAACTACTAAAAAGATTTTTTTTATTTAGTTGATTGAGTTGATGAGCAGACAACTTATTAGTTAAAACACTTTTGAAATAGGTTACAACTGTTCTTTTTTATTGTTTTAGTAAAATTGTAAGTGCAAACCTAATAATTTACTTTCGTCGCTGTTTTTCAAAATTGTGAAGTTGAAAAACACTGGTTCTTTACCAAGAACTAGTATGTCATGAATATTTTTCACTTATCAGAATTAAAACCAGAGACCTTTACAGGCACTTATTGACGTTATCCATACAAATTTCAAACAAAAATATAATTTTAAAATGATTATAGTAAACTGAGGATATTAAGCACCATAACACTATAGGTATTTCCTTTACTATCTTTGAATTTTACCTTTCTCTTGTTGTTGTTAGATAATTAGATATATGTTTAATTTACAAAGCAATTTACAGTGATCTACGTAATCAAAAGCGTGCGAGAGAACACAAAAAATAAGTGCCTACTGCAAACCGTGATGACCCAGGCTTTTAAAATATTTCACATTAATTTAGCTCACGCGTTTGTTGTTCATCGTACTTTCGTAAAACCAAACTGATTCCTGTTAAAAATACAATTAATTCTAAAATTAATATTTATTTGATCTTATAGGTACATTATAGATTTTTTTTAACTAGAAGAATTTTTGAATCTAATGCGCAGACTGCTTCCTAAATAGGGTGAAGCGATACTTCACGCCTGAACAGCTTTAACCCTTTACAAAGCTCAGAATCAGACCTGCATGGAGTATTGCAGTCACCTTTGGAATAGCTTGGCTAAATACCAACTGCAATTAGGGTTATCATTTAGGAATTTAAAAAGTCCTGACAAAAATCCTGACATTTCAAAAAAAACGGGACTTTTAGTACAAAATGGTACCATTACTCACTTAGTTACAATGGTATGGTATTTAAAACAATATGTACACTTATTATTCATATTTACTGTAATTTAAATAATCCGGACAATTAAGAGATCCGGTCAAAGTCCGGACTATAGTCTAAAAGTCTGGACATGTCCGGAATAATCCGGACGGATGGTAACCCCTACTGCAATGGACTCGAACGCAGAGCCTAGAGAATCATAGTCAACAATGATGTCGATTCTGACAAGATTCTCTACACTCAAAACTAAAGGACATTGGGCAAAAATGTATGGACGCTGCACCCACGTCCGCCACGGCTTAAACTACATTTGTTTGAAAGGTATTATAGTCATGATCATCTGTGCCAAAGCGCATCAAATTCCATCCCGGGAGTCTTTAGTTATTTTAAGTTAAATAGTTACAAGTACTATAACGAACGAACATTAATGAAAAAAGTGAATTAATTTAGTTAGTTAGTTCGACACTACATAGGGGGCTCAGGTATTATGGGAGTGCTTCACAAGGTTCAAGTGTGCCCCCGTATATTATTCTGCCGCACTAGAGTAAATCCAATAATCCCCGCATGGGTTAATTGGGGTTTATTCAAACATTCTGTTCGTTATAGTAAATTGTCTTCTTTGTAAAACGGAGCGACCACAAATCACCCAAACTTGTCCACGCTTCGGAGAAAACATGATTCCAATTCATCCATTCTACATACATTGTTGGCGGAGCTGGGTGTGTTTTGCCCATTGTCCTTTAATATCAGGTTCTCCTTTTCATTCTGTATAGAGAATGACAAGGATACACTGTTATTAAATTTAAGTTTTGGTGGAAGCTAAGCTTCACACCTTGGCTTGGGTCAACGCCACCTACACGAACTCATTCCGCCTTCCCCCTTCTACCGTCGGACGTCCAGACGCATGACCTTTTAGCATCCTTTCTTGGTTGCTGTTCGTCCCCTTCGCACCAAAAGCTTCTCAAATACTTTTATGCGTACAGCGAAGGAGGGGAATTGCCTGCCTGCGTCTGTATTTTAGAGTACATGTAATTTTACTCCTATTAACGCCAGAGTGAATAGTGTAAGCACGCTACATCGTTGATCCCATCTCTGCCCTCGGACCGGTAGGATCAAGAGCTCATTAACTACTAATAAAAGGATATTAATAAAGTACTCAGTCCTGTTAGGCATTCCACTCTTAAACAATAATTTTATTTTATCAAATAAAGTGATCAAACCTTAAATGACAAGATATGAGACTTCCAATGAAATTTAGTTCAAATATTTTTTTAAATATGTTTATAAAGAGACTTGCCTGTATGTTAATAAATTCCTTTGGAGCATTTAAAAATAAAACTATGATCGGCGGTTTTTGGCGGGATTTCATCGAGTGTGGTTGGCGTCTTATTTGCCTTCCTTGAAAAGGGAGAACTTAACCAAAAAAAAAACTATTACCAGGCCGTCACTGTCACAGCACTGTCACCCCCATTGTGCACTTGTAAAATAAAAAAGATACCGCCTTAAATAACAAAGATAAATATGAAATGAACTCATAATAATGAAGAATTGGCTGTATGGATATCATCCAAGGCCGTTAAACTATTAAAAAAAACTGGGGTTTTTGGCGGGATTTCATCGAGTGCGGTTGGCGTCTTATTTTAATTATTCTTAAATTCGTTCATAGTGGATATTGTGAAATAAAATTGGGGTGGTTTTGTGTAACAACTGTCTGCGTAACTGAAGAAATAGTGGAATCATTAAAATATACGCTATTCCGGTCAAGTGGACGTGAGAATTTTACTGTAGTGTTGACTACCTCACAGAAGCTTATCAAAAAAGCCAACTCGATACATTTCGTGCCAAACACTCCAAGAAACATTAGAATGCGTCACACCGACATTCTAATGTAAAAACAAAAAGAAGATAAATTTAATTAAAGACCAGGCTGTATGAGCATTGTTTCCCTTGCCTTCCCTAAAACGGGAGAACTTCAACAAAAAAAAAACTGTCACCCACGCGATTGTCAAAGTCAAATTATTCGTAAACACGTGTGGCGTGGCGGCGTTTGTGGTCTACAAAATAAGGCCATTTATTATTTAATTTTAAATAAGTTTACATCTGAATACCTTTCTGTCTGGATTTGCAAGAAACTTAATAGTTAAGTGCAAAATGTCGGACGGCCAGTTCAGTGACTATGAAGAAGAAATAACCGAAAAGGTTAAGACTGTGAGGGTAAGTTGATTACTTGAAATTTTGCAGTAAATTGATAATTTTAAACCCGGTGTCGCTGTAAAGGTCATCTGCGACCAACAGCATACACACTCAAAATAAAATTGATAATTTTATTTTACAATGAAGTGAGAAAAAGAGTACGGAAAATAATTACTAAGTGAGGATTTATTTTCATTTCACTTAATTATTTCTATTCCATTTGTTTCCTTTATATTTGTAAGCTAAAACCTATTTTTATTAAAATGATCACACCATATTTGTATGATTGTTGAATGTGTTTTCTACAGATATGTCAGGGTACTTAATTCCATTATATGTAATTAAATTTCGGGGTAATTTGTAAGGGAGGTGGAGGGGGGGCTCCCCCCGACCCCCCCCCCCCCCCCGCCATAAATGATTTTTGGCGGAAATGCAGTTTTTTTTTTACCTAACCTAAAAATTCATAAAATCTGTTATATGTAGTGGAATTTCAGGGGGATAGGTATTAGGGAAGACCCCTCAGAGGGAAGGGTACCCCCCCCCCTCCCGGGGTTTTTTTTACAGAAATGATAATTATAAAAAATTAGAGGAGTTTTAAAGGTAAATCTGTACTTCCAGCGCCTAGAGGTGATATTTGATTTTTCTGTAGAAAAAGTCTATTAACAAAGTTTTCTTTCTGGTCACAACACTAACCTAACCTAACCTAGTGTGAAGTATCACCACTTGGGCCTTAGATATACAGTTTAGCCGTTTAAATAAAACAAGTTTAAACACAAACACTGACTGACAGATCTCATTAATGGCGGTAAATTGTCACATTTAGACAATAGTACCAACATAATAAACTTATATTTACCATAGACAACGAGAAACATGTTATTTTTGCATAAAAAAATGGCAGCACTGATCATGAAAATTGCGAAAAAAAAAAAGTTCTCAAAATTGACTCATAACCTACAAAAATATTAATTTTCAATAATTTTTTTCTCGAGTTCTATTCGTTTCCGCCAAAAAAGATTTCGTATTTTTGCATAAAAAAATGGCAGCACTGATCATGAAAATTGCGAAAAAAAAAAGTTGTCAAAATTGACTCATAACCTACAAAAATATTAATTTTCAATAATTTTTTTCTCGAGTTCTATTCGTTTCCGCCAAAAAAGATTTCGTGTACGTGTTTTTAATAGTTAATACTTTGCGTGACAAAAATTTCAGCTTGCAACTCAATTACATATAATGGAAAGGTGAGCCCTTTTCTCCTTTTTTTTAGTTCGCTCCTATGCCTCAAATAAAGACATACAGCAGTGAAGATGAAGGTCTAGATTCTGATGACTATTTTTACGACTCTGATGATCATTTACCCAAAAAGGACCATGCTAACACACAGGCTCCTTCTAAAAAGATTACAAACTATCAACCAACAGAAAAGTTATTCAAAAAATACATCAATAAGATAAATGTTGACAAATATGAGCCTGCATATTCAAACAATGCTGAAAAATTTATGAACCAAAATGATAGGAAAGTAGATAATGAGAGGATCAGAGTGAAAGACAAGCATGACAGAGCCACCGCTGAACAAGTTATGGATCCTAGGACTAAAATGATATTATTCAAGCTTTTAAACCGTGGCATAGTCAATGAAATCAATGGATGTATTTCCACTGGTAAAGAAGCTAATGTATACCATGCAACATCTAAAGATGGCAGAGATTATGCTGTGAAGATATTTAAAACATCCATATTAATATTCAAGGACAGAGACAAATATGTATCAGGGGAGTATAGATTTAGAAATGGCTATTGCAGATCTAATCCACGAAAAATGGTACGTACTTGGGCTGAGAAGGAAATGAGGAATCTTGTTAGAATGTTTAATGCACAACTGAGCGTCCCAGAGCCCATAATTTTAAGAAGCCATGTTTTAGTTATGACTTTCATGGGGGAAGGAGGCTGGCCATCACCAAAGTTGAAGGATGTAGAAATATCACAGTCAACAGCTCGTTCTCTTTATAGAGACTGTATCACCATGATGTGGAAAATGTTCAATATTTGCAAATTAGTTCATGCTGACTTGTCAGAATTTAACATGTTATACCATAAAGGTGCTTTGGTTATAATTGATGTCTCCCAATCAGTTGAGCATGACCATCCACATGCTTTTGAATTTTTAAGAAAAGATTGCACAAATGTATCAGATTTTTTCAGGAAAAAAGGTGTAGCAACACTTACTGTAAAAGAACTTTTTGATTTTATTACGGACTCCACAATAAATGAAAATAATCTAGAAGAATGCCTAGAGAAGTTGTCAGAGAAAGCAGCATCAAGAAATTTCGAAGACATGTCAGCTCAGGAGCAAGTGGAAGAGGAAGCATTCAAAAATGTTTACATTCCTAAAAGACTAACAGAGGTGAGGTTTTTAGTAATGCTTTGAAAATTATAAATTTAGTTGAATAATCAACATTATCACATTATTCTGAATGGCTGAAGCATTAGTTTAATGCATTGGCTTTGGGGAAATTAGAAAGTTAGTCTAGGTGAACTAGAACCACATCAATCAATGTAGTCCTAGTCTGTCCTATTGACGAAATCATGTGATTCTTTTAATTATTGTAATTATCTCTTATTGCTGCATTCAAAGAAGTTGATTAGGTTTGTGGTTTTCTTTGCTAATATAAATATAAATACAATGTGGCAACATGTCACTTAAATGTAAAAGAGCATTAAATTAATTTTAAGTTTCTGAGTATGGCTGTTAGTATAAATAAAATATGTTGTTTGCAGTTTAGTTTTTCTTAAATCAAGGCTTACCCTGATTTCATTCCTATGTTTACAGGTAATTGATTATGAACGTGACATTAATAAAGCAAAAAAAGGTGAAACGGAAGATCTAATTTACAAAAAAATTGCTGGGTTCAATGAGAATCTGACTGGCACAATAAATACTCCTGAGATCCTACAAAATGATGAGATTACTGACAGCGAATCAGGTTCTGAGTCAAATGAAGATGATGAAGGTGATAACGATAGTAAGTCCTAACCATCTTTATAGTATCTTAAGAAAAAACTCACTCTTCACCGCTGCATGTGATTTGAAATTAGAATACAAAATTGAATGCAAAGGACATTGTTCAGCGTCCATACATAGTTAGCCTAAGAACCAACAATCATGAAATATTATTTTCTAGGTTCAAAATCGTAAGTAAATGACTGTAAAAACAAAGATTATTGACGGACACTTCTAAGAACTTAAATTATTAGGAAAACTAAAAATTTTTTTGAGGTTATGTTTAATATTCAATGAAACATAGGTCAACCTATGAATTTAGTATGAACTCAGTATGAAGTGAATTATTATTACAACTAATTCATTTTATTCGGTGCGATTTTGAAGAATAACTATTAGGAAAAACTTGGTTAGGTAGGAATCATGAATCAAGTAAAAACTGTAGTTTTGCTTCTTATTTATTGACTATTTTTCACATAATTGTATCATATTGTTTATTGTATTTATTTGTATATCACATTTATATTGTGCAAATATGCAGCGTGAATGTGTATCAGGTGTTCTTGAATAATTTGGCAGTATGATCCTCTCAGGATGTTGTGGCACAGGTTCACTAGCACTTTGTAATAACGTCTCTGCTCTTTGGTAACATCGATGGCATATTAGATAGCCGAAATAGTGAAATTAAAGGAAAAACAATCGCAAATAAACACACACAACAGGTAATCCGAAACGAGAATGCACTTTCCGGTATATTATACTACTCTTTGGAATGCACGAATGCCACAGATTACTACAAATGCAAACTGCATGCACCACAACCACAGAGTAACGAGTGTTATGCCGACCATTCACTTGACAACAGTTTGTCCTTGTCATGCTTAATAAGGAATGAAAAGGACAGACTGATGCCATCTTTTAAAATAACAAATACGAATAGCCAAGTGAAGTGCCGGCATTAGGAAGAAAGAGTGTTTTGTTTGCAGCTCTGCCATAGATTACACACATAAAATGGTATTTATTGTCTCAGATTAATTTTTAACTTTTTAATTTAGCTTACTTAACTGGAAGTGTCCGTCACAATCTAAATACTGATAATTATCGCAAAAAATATACTAACAATTATCATAAATGCCAAATTGGTGTTGGTTCTTAGGCCAATTTTAACATTGTCCTTTGAAATCAATCCACAGATTCCGCTGTGAAATGTGAGTTTGTTCTTACAGAATTGCAGGGCTGTTGGTTGTTCATTTATATAAACTATTATGGTTTATAGATAAATCAACTTTTCAATAGATTATTGTAACATGCTTGTTTAATAACAGAAGATTAGAACAAGAAACAGCCATGCGGAATTCGCTCCTCAATCACTTTAAGAAAACTCTGTATAAGCTCAAAAAATTTTGTGTTATATATTTGTCTCTCAGAGCAATGGGGAAATTTACACAGCCTACAGATGAATAATTTCATGATGAATGTCCAAGTAGTTAACAAAAAAATAAAGACTGTGACATGAACAAAACCATATTGTTTTGGTTTTAGTGTCTTAATGCTTTACAACTGCTCTGCTTTATTTTTCAAACTAAATTACCACTTTCTGTGATATGGAATTACAGCTACATAGGCTTAAAATACATATTTCGTTTTATATTTTCAGCAAGCAAATTTAAAAATGCTGCCCGCCCTCGTGATGAGTCACCAAACAGCAAGAAAGCAAGGAAAAAGGCTGTGAAAGATGATAGAGCTGAAAAAAGGAAAACTAAAACAAAAAAGCATGTTAAGAAACGCAGGGACAAAGGTCATGGTAAAAAATAATAGTTTTAAAATAATAACAATATTGTAAACTCAGCATTTTATTTAATTCAGTCCAGTAACAAGATTTTCATAGCTACAATTTCCCATTTAAAAAGGTTGTTCTTGGTAGATGGAATATTGTATCTGTTAATAAATGAATAACTTACCAACTACTAAGTGAAAATGGGTTCTGGACTTGGATTTTTATATATTGTATTATACAGTTTCTGTATATAGATAATTTAATTTTATGTTATTATAGTGTAAGAAGAATATAATTTGAAAAATAAGGTTCTGTACAGTTTTGTACAGGAAAATATACAGATTTTTCAAGTTAATTGTAACTTTTTTATTGAAACCTCTCCAAACATGTATACTAACAGAAAAACATTACATTATTTTTTGGGCAGTCATGTAAAAACTGACTAACTGTGAATCAGGCTTGCAAATAAATATTTCCAACACTCACACCAATTAGCCTAGCCCCAAAGTAAGCACTGTAAGGCTTGAGTTATGGGATACTAGGGTAACGAACGGATAGAATACATATATTGTACATACATATATAAGTATATGGAAATAAATATTAAACTTCCATGACTGGAGTACAAATGCTTGTATTCATCACACAAACATCTGCCCCCACTGGGATTCGAACCCGGGACCACTCGAGTCACCATGAAACCCGGCGTATAAACCACACGGTCACGGAGGTCGTCCAATGGTTCCAGACTATTCCATAGGTCTAACATTTGCGGCCCATAATTTGTTTACTTAAAGGATGTGTGATTTAGCTATTTTATATTAGTGACTGTGTTGCGGCCCTACGGCCATTTTAGAAAAGACTATTCTGCGTATTTTGGTTTATAAGCTAACACAGGCTTGTTTTCTTGTTTTCTAGAGTTCTAGAAAGTTGTCAAATTTCATGGGATTATTTTTCAGTTACTGGAGGAGTCAGTGGAGGAGCTCGATGGCGCAAGTGGTTAACGCGTTCGGTTGCGATCGTTGAAGTTAAGCAACTTTCGCAGTGGTCGGTCATTAGATGGGTGACCAAAAATTTACTATCTTCGGAAGGCACGTAAAACCGTTGAGTCCCGGCTGCATCTGCATTCGTTAGAACCTACCAATCCACACTGAGCCCGCGTGGTGGATCATGACCTAATCTCCCCTTTCCATCCATAGAGAAGGCCTGTGCCCCAGCATAGGGGACATTCATCTGCTGACAATGGTGAGTTCAGTCAGTCCATTCTCTATCGGAATAAGATACCAAGACCGGCGGACCTTATTTATTTACTGATGTACAAAAAAAAATAGTCGAGTAGTTTAGTGTGTACAATGCACGTATACATACTCGCAAAATTGTACTGTGGGCCAATTTCAGGTACCAAGTGTTACAGGCTCGTAAAAATTTTACTCACTTTACTTACGTAAAGTAAAACAACAACAAGAACAGTCTGAGGACTGATTCTTACGTTTGTTGGAGATAATTTTGTAAATATGTAATTTGAAATTAACACTGCTAGACACATTTTGTCAGCAGTATTTATTGCCAGAAACTTTAAATAAAGCAAGAAACACAAATTAGGGGTAACCTATTTCGAATACTCCATAATTAATGAACTGTATCCCTAGCACGAACCAATATCGAATTCGAATAGTTTGCGAGTGCGAAAGTCAAATTTTGTATGGAAACTTGAACAGCAGCACCACAGCGGACGCAACGAGAACTAAAAATCAGTACACATTTGACAATGACATTTCGGACTCGCAAACTATTCGAATTCGATATTGGTTCGTGCTAAGAGTACTGTCCCAAACATGACGGAAATTTATTTTATTTCAAAAGTGTCTCCGTACTACGGACTTCACAAGAAGTACTTTTCTGCTCTGCTTAGGCAATTTAATCTAAGATTGACCCTGACTAAGCAAAGAAATACTGAAATAAAACTCATTTTTTTTTCGTATATTATTACAATCACTTTTTATTGTAAAAATGCATTGACTATTAAAAATTACTGAAATAATATAAAACAATATTTTAAAAATTCCATTCACAGTTTATCTTGAAAATAACTAGATATTAAAATCATTTACCTTTTACCTCCATGAGGTAACATTATTATTGAGTTACTTCCACCATACATTACAGCTACTTCACGGGCATATAGAACTTATTAAATCACTTAAAATAACAAATGATATTCAAATTGGCGAAATAAGTACTTGATGCCAACATTAAAATCTTAACGCTAAAGTTGAGCTTGGAGACAAACTAGAAACTATACAAGTCACAGACCTAGATTTGAGTATACTCGGCGTCAAAAAAACGCACCTCGGCGAAAATAACTTGCAAGCGTCATTAGCCCTTAACACGCGCATGTACACATTTTGCACGATAGCGCCCGCGCTCACAATTAATTGTGCGCGACTACATTCAACAGGTTGGGATCTATCTCAAGAGCAAGAGCTCCTAAAATTGGTATGATCCATGAGGGAGCGTATGGAAGCCGTCATCCGGGCAAGGGGTAACACTAGGTTTTAGGTTAATTTTAAGAACCAATAAATTACTAAACCGTAGTTAATTTGTTTTTAATTAAGGATTTTTATTATTTGTAAACTTTATTATTTATTTTATTTATTGTTTTTGCACTGTTCCAATAAAAAATAAAAGTTAATTTAATTGTTTTTTTGAAATTTATTTATTGGACTTTCAAATGACACCAATATTGGTGTGGGTAAATGCGTGTGTTAAGGGTTATATTATTTTGCGAAGGTACGAATTTTTTGACGCCGAGTGTAGATGACGCATGCTTCAACATGTATGAATATGAATAGTTTGAACCTGTTTCAACAGCTTAATTTGGCTCAATAAGACAATTTTTTAAACTTGCATGGTCACTAACGTTATAGTTAGCGTTGCCAGGCGTCCGGATAAAGCTGGACATAGTTAGGCTTTTTGATTGCGTCTCCGGCCAAAATAAACGGTTTTCGGCTTCTGTGACTTTTGTTAGGCTTTTTATATTTCGCAAACGAGCGAACGCCGATCGTGGCCAAGCGCAAGCGAGTTGGCTGTCGATCGCGTTTACATAAAATTGTTTGTAGTACCTAATATTACTGAGCAAAATCCTACCCTAATGTCCGGCCAAACTGGCTGGTCTGTCTATAAGGTTGGCGGTATAATTGATGTTATTGACGGGATAGTCACGGAGTTACTCCGTGATCATGGCGCTCGCAACAGCGCCGGAATATCGGAAACTCGCTATATCAAGGTACATGGCAGCAATCCCATAAATAGCAGTACTATATTTTTTTTTAATTGCGATTGACTTGCATTACCGAGAATTGCGCCACGAAGAAATAAAATAGCGTTAAAGGACAACTTTATATTGGTCTCCTCTTTTATCATGTATTTGGAACGCGAAGTACCTATATACAGTTGCGTTATCTATTTCGATCTATGTCTGTGATGCATGTCATCTACATAGCCGAGTTGCTTGCAGTGCAGCCAACTGCTACAAAATACAATACGTCTGCTCACTGGTTTTGTCGTTGAGTGCTTAATTTGGCTCATAGCACCAAGCAAGGCACCTATTTAGGACTCGAGTCTATCGGAGAAGGTGCAAAATTTCATTCTACGTATTTTAAAATAACAATAAATAACTTTCAATCTTATGTCTCACTTAAATACGGGAAAATTAGCATTTTAACATTGGGAGTAACGTTATAATATTTATCAGTCTATTAAAAAATCAGATCACTATAATAAATTCATGATAAGGCAACACGTAACTAGTTCGTACAAAATATCAGTCAGCATTTACAATGAAAATCATCTTTGGCTGAACGGTAGATACTAATGATGATGCAAAGTTAAAATTATAACCAGATTTAAGTTTAAGTATATTTAAAAAAATAATCATAGGCACTTATACTATACTTATATGAATTCAATTAAACGAGCTTCTGTTTTTTTATCACATGCCATTACAAGATTAAATTTCTTTGTACTGGCGAGCACCTTTCGGTGATACCCTTATCATTATTTAACTTTACATTAAGAACAAATTGAAAAATCACGTGGCGAACCGCCATCTAAGGCCGATATAGCATAGAGATCTGAAGACGAACATAATGCCTAGCATAGTGGCGATCTCGAGCCACACTGATGTTCTATCGATATCCAAGTACTTGATTAACACGTCCGGTTTGGCGAAGTGGCAATAGACTTCTTTGCACTCCAAAGGAGTTCGGTTGAATCCAAATACGGTGAGAACCATTGCAACGACGCCGCACCTGATGAATGAGGTCTTCATAAGGATATTCATGAGGAGGGGGATTCGGTGTGCGAAATCGAATCCGTAGATGGCCAGCCCGAGGAAAGGTGCGATCGAAGTGGGTCCAACGGCGCAGCCATTCTGGAAATTGATACAAATTAATTCAATTTCAAGTCAAAGTATTGTTTCTCAAATTATATGCATAGTACAAGAGCTCTTTGAAATCGTCCAAAACTTTTTCTCTCTATAGTGTGATTATGGTATTTTTGAGCTGCAAAGAAAAACCGTTCATAAGAAAAAGCTCAAATAATATTTAAATACCTGTATGATCAATAAAAGATCCTGCCTGGCGGAATGATGATGATATATCAGCTATTTTGTGGAACCTAGTAGTAGCAGGTGAAGTTCGTATCTTTTATATTATTAAGTGTTCACCATCACCACTTAACTTAAATAAAACTAGTAAAGGCACTGTATATAAATAAATAAAAAGTGTAGTTTCTAATAATTCCACCATCAGTAATCATTAGTTCATTTGACTTTTGAAAATCTAGCCGGAATCTTGAGTATGAACCATGAGTCATTCCACTAGTCATCATTAGTTCTCCTGACTTGAACGACATCACCCATCACTCACCCTAACATTGAACACCGATCCGATTGCCATTCCCATTCCCTCGGCGACCAGCGAGACAACATTCCCGATCAAACAGAAGGCAATGAACCGCGGCACAGAGAACGGTACACCCGTCATGAAGTACACTATCGTACAGAATATTATGTTTAGTGTCACTTGCACTGGCAACTTGGACACTGTTAACGCTGCGTAGTACGGGGTCAGGCTGTACCAGCGGTTGAAGTGTTCTTTCTTCACTAGCTTCACTTCTTGGGGATCTGAAAATCGACGAAAAAGAGTTCTCATTACGTTGTTCATAAAAAAATGCAATAAACTCATAAAGTAAATCACGACGTGACGTCTCGTTTATGTTTCATTCATCGATTTAAATTTACTTTCGCATCAGTGCCACTGAATAGGAATGCGAATTCTTCTAAATCTATCTTTTTGATTTCCCTATCCAATCCATTTCAGGGTTGCCAGTTTTTATCAAAGTTGTGGTCATGGGATAGATATATACATTTTTTAGTAGTAATTTTTCTCCCTTGACCATAGTCGTCTATGCCACATTTAAACTTGGTTGTGCCCAAGAAGTTTTTCGGTAACAACAGTGGTAAGTTGGTTTTGTCCTTTGATAGATATATTTAATATTGTATGTATCGTTAGATGGCTATGGAAAGAACTACCTACCTATATATTTTTCCATTCTGAAGTCAAAACTTGAAGATTTTAGTCAATAATAAAGAATTCAACTACTTACAAACGAGCACAGGAACCATAATTTGGGTGTAGGCAAAGAAAATGACAAGCCCGACGCACATCTTGAGGTGGTTGAACATCTGAGTGCCATCGTTCGCCATATTGAAGAAACAAGCGCCGATCAAAAGACCGCACATGACGTGGTGAATCAACTGGATCCAGAGACCTGAATAAGAATTATAAACCTAGAAGGTTGACAAGGAACAAGGAGAACATGGACAATTCTTAATAATATGTACAACTTAAAGATGTCACATTGAGCATTGTTGTGGTCTAAATTGCTGTGTAGATGCCAATAATAGTAAAATTTTGCCAAAGCATCAATATATTGCTCAATTTTTAAACTCGTATAAGAGCAGTATTTTTTTATGATATTTGCTATGTTCTTTATGTAAACATAAATATTAAAATTTACAATATAAAGAGAGAGAGATTGAGTTGAAATTATTAGCTGCCTCAAACTTAAAATATGACGTGGCTTATGACTGGATTGCCAGAACGCTTACGACATTGTTAAATTTTGAAACACGCTTTAAAATCAATTGGGGATAAATAAGTAAATATTTCCAACACTCACACCAATCAGCCTAGCCCCAAAGTAAGCACTTGTGTTATGGGATGCTAGGGTAATGGATAGAATACATACACTGTACATACATATTAAAGTATATTTATATAGAAATAAATATTAAACATCCATGACTGGAGTACAAATGCTCGTATTGATCACACAAACATGCCTGCTGCCCCCACACAAACTGCCCCCACCGGGATTCGAACCCGGGACGTCTTGAGTTAGTGACACCGTGATACCCGGCGTACAAAACACTCGACTACGGAGGTCGTCAAATAAAAATAAACTGTTCATGTTATAACATGAAATAAGCTTTCAAATGATATTATATGTTTCATCGCTGCCGTACACCGACTACCAATTTTAAACCGTCTCCTATGTAAGCCCGAGCAGCAATGACAACATTCCACAAATTTACCGCTTCCGACGAAACGTTTAGTCATTGCCCTTTTGTTAACCTCATTGCATTCGTTTATCGTAACACATTGTCCATTTTATTACTGCAATGCTTACTAACCTTGCCTGTTTCTGGATATTTGTATCATCATTCTGCGTAACAGGATGTAAAATTGCTGACAGTACGATGTGGAATAGGTGCACGAGTCACTTTGTATTTTCATCCATGCCATGGAAGAATTGCCGTTGGATGCTTCACTCGAAGTGGTACTGACAGAATCTGTTTCTTTGTATCGTGGCACTTTGTAGGTACATTTCCCATTTGACAACATTATTTCCGTCTCTGGCGCATCGTCTTCTGTCTTATAGCAGATTTTCAACTCAATATTGTCCAAGGGTTCAGTGGCAGTTTCGATTTTTGCAGATTTATAAAGTTTTCCATTCATAATTTCTTCGCATAGTATGTTTATGTTGTCTGGATTTTCCGTTAATTCGATTACTGTAAATAGAGAATTGTTAATGTTAGTATCATTAACATTCTAAACGCAATAATTATACTACTACTATTCAGTGGCTAAATTTTATCGTTTGTGTACCTACACATTGGTGTTTTGAAATTACCTATACTTAGCATAATGTTTGATTAGCTAATATTGTTAAGTGAGACATGCTGTTTCCTTTCAAAATCTGTATGTTACATTAATCTAAAGTTGTTTAACTCCCTATTGGTATTGTAATATTTCATTTCGTTCATACTAAGATAACACATCATGATATTCCTTCTAACAATACTTCAACGTATTTACGTATATTACCAATGAAGTACCTATTAAAATATTTTTGGTGAAATATTCAGACATGGATGGTTTTGACATACCATTAAATATAAGTGTGTTTCTGTTTGTCAAACAGATGATTGTGTAAAGAGTGTTTGACTACTTCACAAGTGAAGATCGATTCGATGTACTTACCTACGCTTACGCTAAGCGGTTCATTAAAAAAATAGATCAATGAATAGGTACAGAAACTTAAACAGCAGTGTATCTCTCAAATGTCAACTTTACTGAATCGATGTATCCTTGCAATGGATTTAAGTGAATCCTCGATCCAATTTTGAGATTTCAAAAGATACATTTTAGGATAAGTAATACAAAAAAAAATGTACTATTCACAATCACTCGTTTCCTAAACATATTCAATTTTGAATGCTCAGTCGAAAATATTCGTTTCTTTCTAAACAGGAATGATCAAACCGAATCATCGAACTCCTTTTCCAATTAAAGCCAAGTGAAGAGGTAGAATTAGCTCTTTCATCCAAAAATTTTGTGGCAGTTTACAAAAATCTCCACTGACAGATTTTTGGCAAATTACAGGACTATAGTACACTATAATCTTTAATGAATGCACATAAATGGGGTCTTATTCTTACTGAAGTTCCTTTCTTATGTAAAATAATAAGCTCAAGCCCGCTTCATGATGAACACCGGTAGTTAGTATTATTGCACTGTGGCCTTTTAAATAGCAAATTCTTTATACCCTACCTCCAACGATATATTTAATTATCGTTGCCTACCTCTCTTAAAAATACTAATGTGGAACACTTACTGAAATCAGCTGGATTGTGCTGTCTTGGACAAGGTAGCCCGACGCTCTGCAAATAAGAAACCATGGCACCTGTTTCCCCCTGGTAGATACACCTTCCATCTGCGATCACGTAAACCTGGAAAAGCGAAATTGGAACCATAAATAATAATTAAAACTAGTTTTTACGGGTTAATGCACGAAAACTTTATTTATTTAATGAGTGATGTGCGTGAAAACCTAAGAAACAAATACATAAATAATAATTTAATAAATATTTCCAACACTCACACCAATTAGACTAGCCCCATAGTAAGCACCTTAAGGCTTGCGTTATGGGATACTAGTGTAACGGGTAGAATACAATATTGTACATACATAAGTATATTTTTATATAGAAATACATATTAAACATCCATGACTGAAGTACAAATCTAGCATAAATAATAATAAATATTTCCAACACTCACACCAATTAGACTAGCCCCATAGTAAGCACCTTAAGGCTTGCGTTATGGGATACTAGTGTAACGGGTAGAATACATATATTGTACATACATAAGTATATTTATATAGAAATACATATTAAACATCCATGACTGAAGTACAAATGCTAGTATTCATCACACAAACATCTGCCCCCACCGGGATTCGACCTCTCGAGTAGGCAACACCATGAAACCCGGCGTACAAACCACTCGGCCACGGAGGTCGTCGACAGTCCGACCGACGTCGGTGAATTCAAATCCATGAATCTATAGTGTGTGATCTTGTTACCTATGGTCACGGGAAGCCGCTGTATGCGAGTGGCGCAGGACCGATCGGTGTAGTGTGAAGGTGACCTATGCTCAGGTTCAGCTGTGGGCGTCGTACGGCTGATACGATAATGATGATTATGACTAAAAATACGTACAGGCAGGTTTTTACTAAAATTCCTTTATTTCGCAGTAACAAATTAGAGTAGATAATCTTCTTATTATTCGTTTAATAAAACGAAAAGCTACTTACTCCGCTAATCTGTTATTAACTAAGTACTTAGTCTTTGTGTGTTATTAATATTTTTTTTTATAAGCCGGAATATGTCTAATATAAAAAAAAATGTGTCCAAAATTCTATGTCCGTTATTATATATCATGCTTAAGCACTGAACTTTTCTAAACGGCATTGGCATGCGTTCGAATAGGATTATTTAGATTTACAACAACATCCAAAGATGGCTGTACCCGAGTTTAAGGTTTTATGTTACTATCAAAAAATTATTATAATTAGAATGACAACGTTCTGGCGCTCGCCATATTAAATTCTAGTAAATATATACCGACTACGATACATTCATTAAATAACACTACCTTCTATTGCGGTATAAATACGGCACAAATTGCTATTACTTAGTAACTTCCAACAAACTAAATCAATTTTATGATCCTAACTTGTCTATCAATTGCAAAGAGGTTTCAATAGCCATAATTGTCATCTATTACTTATTAACCCATTAAGGCCTAGCGATGCCGTTCGGCACCCAGATTTAGAAGTTTAAATTATCGCTTCTTGAGCTGTTATTCAAAGTTTAATATTATTGGTTGCAGCATCAGTATGGGAAGTGCATAGGTAAACTCATAATCACATGTCATTTTTAGCCAATCACTGTCAAGATTTTTATTTTGCTGACACCTGCAAGTTCAGTGTTAGAAAAAGTCGACCAAAAATGGATTTCGCTTTTAAGTAAGTATCTCTAATATCTAAAATATTTATTGTGTAGCTAGTTTTATTATCTTGTTTTATCATATTATAATACTAAAAATTAAGAAAATATTTTAGCCTTAGTTACTGATATTGATGTAAATACAACCAGTTGTTTCGTTAAGCTGCCGTTTGGCACAGCTACACCTCTACCTACAGTGTCTTTTTATACATTGAATATGATGTGACAGTTTTATCAAATATTTGTTTCATATGTACTAAATATGATTACTTAGGTATATTCTATAGGTTCTTATTTAGCTACTTGTTTTTATAGGGGTTGTACACTTCATGAAGCTGTTGCTCCTGTGTCAGTTTTCATTACACCACCTGATCCGGCTGTTGTCACAGACGAGGACTTGGCTGACGAAGACGAAGGTGGTTTGGTCAACAACTTGTCTGGTCGACAGCTGAACGCTAGGTGTGAGGTAAAGTTGGATTCGAAAAAAAAGTAAACCAACACGTCGTCGTGTGCAATCTATTTACTTCGTATCATGTATAGAGACTGCTAAATCTCAAACGTTAAAGTTCACAGACGTTTGGCAATCCTGCGCGGCGCGTCCTCGTCCGCGACAACACACATCGTGTCCTTAAGTGTCTCGCAGACTTACGGCCACGGCCTAATCTAAGCTCTTTCGTATTTTTCAGTTACGTCGATGTTATTTTGAAATACATAACTTTTTAATTTAATGTTTCTACTCAGGCTGATCACATGAAAGGTACCAAAAACAAAAAACACAAATGGGATGTCGTACCTAGGTACACATGTGAAACCGTTCTGATACGTCTTACGAGTTAGGTAAAGACAAAAAAGGAGTTTCAACCATTTAAAACATTTTTTTGTAAAATTACCTATTTTTATATAGCGGCTCGTGTGTAATAATAGTTTGGAATCAGGAACTGTAAAAAGAGCTTTTGGTATTGATTCGTATAAGCAGCCGGTTGTCAGCCGCTGTCTTTACGTTATTTTCTGTTTTAAACCATGACGGAGTAGGTAATTATTGATTAATAATATCTATTTGTATATAACGGCTCGTATATTATTACATATTCGACTTAGGAACTGTAAAACTTATAACACCTTTTGGTATTGAGTCTTATAAACAGGCGGTTGTCAACCGCGCCGTCTTATCGTTATTATCGGCTATTTTGGATAATTATTCGATAACAACCGCTGTTTTACAAGTATAATCTCAGGGCAAAGCCGGAGATAGATAAGGTAACCCTAGCCGCAATAGAAGTTACATAATTAAAAATCTATTGCTTCGCTATAGGAAATTGCAAGAAAAAATCTACTTATTGATTCTCTAAGGTAGGTAAGTTAAGTAAGTACTGATGCCGTAACTAAATCATAGCTCATCTATCTTTAATTTATGTTATTTATGTTAATCACTACGAAGCTCGATAACAATGGTGATCACCACAGACCTAGATTGAAGTAGATGCCGCATGTATTTCAAATTATATGGAACCGAACGTGTCAGATTTTGAGTGTGGGTACTCAAAATATAAAGACAACAACTAAGTGGTGAAAAACATGGGCCCCGTCACCTACTTCAATATACATATTAAACATCCATGACTGAAGTACAAATCTAGCATAAATAATAATAAATATTTCCAACACTCACACCAATTAGACTAGCCCCATAGTAAGCACCTTAAGGCTTGCGTTATGGGATACTAGTGTAACGGGTAGAATACATATATTGTACATACATAAGTATATTTATATAGAAATACATATTAAACATCCATGACTGAAGTACAAATGCTAGTATTCATCACACAAACATCTGCCCCCACCGGGATTCGACCTCTCGAGTAGGCAACACCATGAAACCCGGCGTACAAACCACTCGGCCACGGAGGTCGTCGACAGTCCGACCGACGTCGGTGAATTCAAATCCATGAATCTATAGTGTGTGATCTTGTTACCTATGGTCACGGGAAGCCGCTGTATGCGAGTGGCGCAGGACCGATCGGTGTAGTGTGAAGGTGACCTATGCTCAGGTTCAGCTGTGGGCGTCGTACGGCTGATACGATAATGATGATTATGACTAAAAATACGTACAGGCAGGTTTTTACTAAAATTCCTTTATTTCGCAGTAACAAATTAGAGTAGATAATCTTCTTATTATTCGTTTAATAAAACGAAAAGCTACTTACTCCGCTAATCTGTTATTAACTAAGTACTTAGTCTTTGTGTGTTATTAATATTTTTTTTTATAAGCCGGAATATGTCTAATATAAAAAAAAATGTGTCCAAAATTCTATGTCCGTTATTATATATCATGCTTAAGCACTGAACTTTTCTAAACGTCATTGGCATGCGTTCGAATAGGATTATTTAGATTTACAACAACATCCAAAGATGGCTGTACCCGAGTTTAAGGTTTTATGTTACTATCAAAAAATTATTATAATTAGAATGACAACGTTCTGGCGCTCGCCATATTAAATTCTAGTAAATATATACCGACTACGATACATTCATTAAATAACACTACCTTCTATTGCGGTATAAATACGGCACAAATTGCTATTACTTAGTAACTTCCAACAAACTAAATCAATTTTATGATCCTAACTTGTCTATCAATTGCAAAGAGGTTTCAATAGCCATAATTGTCATCTATTACTTATTAACCCATTAAGGCCTAGCGATGCCGTTCGGCACCCAGATTTAGAAGTTTAAATTATCGCTTCTTGAGCTGTTATTCAAAGTTTAATATTATTGGTTGCAGCATCAGTATGGGAAGTGCATAGGTAAACTCATAATCACATGTCATTTTTAGCCAATCACTGTCAAGATTTTTATTTTGCTGACACCTGCAAGTTCAGTGTTAGAAAAAGTCGACCAAAAATGGATTTCGCTTTTAAGTAAGTATCTCTAATATCTAAAATATTTATTGTGTAGCTAGTTTTATTATCTTGTTTTATCATATTATAATACTAAAAATTAAGAAAATATTTTAGCCTTAGTTACTGATATTGATGTAAATACAACCAGTTGTTTCGTTAAGCTGCCGTTTGGCACAGCTACACCTCTACCTACAGTGTCTTTTTATACATTGAATATGATGTGACAGTTTTATCAAATATTTGTTTCATATGTACTAAATATGATTACTTAGGTATATTCTATAGGTTCTTATTTAGCTACTTGTTTTTATAGGGGTTGTACACTTCATGAAGCTGTTGCTCCTGTGTCAGTTTTCATTACACCACCTGATCCGGCTGTTGTCACAGACGAGGACTTGGCTGACGAAGACGAAGGTGGTTTGGTCAACAACTTGTCTGGTCGACAGCTGAACGCTAGGTGTGAGGTAAAGTTGGATTCGAAAAAAAAGTAAACCAACACGTCGTCGTGTGCAATCTATTTACTTCGTATCATGT